GATTGTGTTTGAAATGTAATATATAACACGTAGTTCTGACAATCGTAGTCTTCTCAATAAATCATCCGAATAAAATAGTAGGTAAATGTAAGTTACTTGAACTTTCCGAGGGCAGGAATAACATCATTAAAAAAAACAACAGATTAATGAAATATGTTTTTCGTTTTTATGAAAATGTTCAAAATTATTCAAATTCAACACAAACATACATATGGAGAGAACAAAAAGGGCTAGTGAATAGTCATTATCGATTGGTTGGTTCATGAACTTCAATATTTAGTCTTGATTTATCTAATAATTAACCATCCTATAACTGCAAGTGTGAGTCAATTGAAGCTAGACCATCATGGAAAACCTGGAAGCACTAGATGGCCAACTCGTCCTATTATGGGACCCCTCAACAGTGCGCATCCACGAACCCGCACTCACGAGATTCAAACCCAGGACCTACTAGTCTCGCGTCAGAGCACTTAACCGATAGACCACTGAGATGGCCGGCATCCAACAGTGTTAATGTCTAACTTCAACCAATCCACGATGTTTGAGTAACCGTTTACCAATTGTCTTCAGTGAGTTGATATCTCACAACAGACTTAGTTGAACTCTACTTGTCACTGCTTCTCACTAGAACTCCAGGATATATATCTTGAAATCAGTCACTAGTGAGCATATGATTATAATGAGAAGGGGTTTTGTGGAGATTTCAGTATTTTTCATAGTTGAAAGCATGAGTCTATTGAAACCAGACCACCATGGAAAACCTGGAAGCCCTGGACGGCCGTTTCTTCCTATTATGGGACTCCTCAACAGTGCGCATCCACTGTATAACTGTTGAATTTAAACATGTTAAGTACTAGATACCTGCTCAACAGTCCAAAGGTTAAACATTTACGGATCCCGGGTTCGATTCCTGTTGATCTGTGGATGTGAACTACCAAGACGTCCCATTCAGAACTTAGATATGGTAAATGTGTTGTATATCACAAAATAATAATGAAATTACAAAGGATATGGAGTTTTAATACGACCAATGAAATTCTTGAGGGAAACTGCGGATTGATTGAGTTGAAAATCACAATAATATATGTTGCAATCCATGCTATTTTAATTTGATCCCTTTGATTGGAATATTACTGCTAAGCTGTGAAGGTTTATGGATAGGATCTTAACTTTAAGCGCTTCGGTTCGTATAATGGACCAACCCTACTCACTTATTACTAACTCTAAACATAACACCCAAACACTAACATCTTAACTCTAAAACTTACTTGTCACATTAATATGTAAGGTTTCGTAAGTTCTCTACAATAACATTATCATCCAATCTATTCAAAATAAGAAATCTAGTCAAAAATATGATTTTCAACAATAAACTATCTGCAATGCCATTTTAACTTCATTCTGATATTGAAAGTCTACCATCTTAAACTTGATTGTTCACTCAAAACTGTTCTTATTGCCCATATTTTGCACTTTATTTCATTGAATGATAGTTCTGTTTATATATTGTAAAATGATTATCTAATCAATTTAGTAAGTTTGTGGAAGACAAACATGGCGAAGTTTGCTTAGATAATGTGATGTGATTGAGAAGAAATGCGAATGGGAATTATTAGTTTAAAAATAAGTCATATCACTGGTAAGCAAAGATGGATAGTGGCTAGTAGTGGAATTCAGTTTGAAACGCGTTTCGTCCTATTTAGGACTCGTCAGCTGGATGTACCTACATCTCAGAGCTGATGTCCACCCTGGGACTCGAACCCAGTACCCTCGCTTCAAACGCCATCGCGTTATTCACTCGGCCATTGAGTCCTGATAGCCGCTTGCTTGTGCAATGGGGTGAAGTTTAAATTCATTTAGTATTGTTTGTTTAAATCTTCCCATCGATGTGTTAGGATTGCAACTGCTCAGTTTCTAATTGACATATGTGCATACTGTGCGTATTGCCTCGTTATGGTTTTAATTAACAAGCATGGTAAGCATAGATGGATAGTGGCTAGCAGTATGCACATATGCTAATTAAAGACTGACCAGTTACAGTCCTAACACATCGATGGGAAGATTCAAACAAACAATACTAAATGAAGTTATATTACTCTTCCAGAAAAGTCATTTATTAAAAATTTTAAAATTATTCTGTAAGAAACATAGTCAGTGAATAATTAAACTAAAATTATTTTCTCAAATTATTATTTACTTATAGTTTAAGGCTCCCTAACTTGGAATCCTGAAGGGAAGCGGAAAAGAGGAAGGCTAAAGGACACATTACGCCTGGAAATAGAAGCAGATATGAAAAGGATGAATAACAACTGGAAAGAACTGGAAAGGATTGCCCAGGACAGGGTTGGATGGAGAAAGTTAGATAGCCATTGAAAACCTAGAATTACTGTATATCTGTCTAGGCCTATTATGTGACCTCCTTGAAGTGCCCATCCACCACTACACTATCGGGGGTCAAACTCAGGGCCTACTATCTCTAACCTCTAAACCAATGGACCTGTTAAGCTAACGTCAATTATTTCGAGATATTATGCAACCATTTTCTATTACTTGTGATGAATAACTAACTCGTTTCTTACAGTTTAAAAATATTCGTTTAGCCACATGAAAGACATAAAGGTAGTACATTTCAGAAAACTTTTGTTAATGATCTAGATATAATTTAAATTGACTATATGACAATAATTCATAACAAAACTTGTTGAGTTTGACTTCATGGGCACCAAAACTATTGAAATCCAAAAATTAATTACACATATATTGTTGGGGCAATCCTAAAAATTTCTCACAATAGACATGACATGCTCAGGAAACATGAAAAAGCATTTTATCTAATCAGTGTTTGATAAGAAGTCTTGCTAAAAACACCACAAAAATGAAAAGTCACATATAGACGTTCTGATTGGCTAATTACTACATTGCTTCTATGTTTAGTAGCCCTATATTTTCTGTACATAAATAAACCTTTGGAGTAAAGTGCTTCTCATATATTTTGCGCCTTTTCTCTTGTGTTCGAGCCGCTATGTAGTTTTAGCTTGGGGGTTACGAGACTAGCTTAGGATCCGAATATAGCGTTTAATCACCAAGACTTATGCATGCATGTATATGTGTATATATCGGTTTAACAACATTTAATTTGCATAGATATTTCAATCTCGGATAGGAAATTGCAAATTATATAAGGTGAATTAATCAGACAAAATCATTTTTGGATGTGCATGTTTTAATTGTTTAAATTAAACGGAAGTGATTATTGACGTTAATAGTAATTATTGATCATCTCAATGTAAACCTCGAGTGAAAGTTAAGCATGGAAACAAAATGTCAAAATTCTACCAGTTGAAAAATGAAATTTTATATAGTTAAGATCATGAGTCAATTGAAGCTAGACCATCATGGAAAATCTGGAAGCAATGGACGGCCAACTCGTCCTATTATGGGACTCCTCAGTAGTACACATCCACGATCACGTCTCGCGAGATTCGAACCCAGGACCTAACAGTCTCGCGTCAGAGCACTTAACTGATAGACCACTGTGCTAGCCGGCATCCAGTGGCGTTAATGTCTAACCTCAACCAATCCAGTGCTTCCAGGTTTTCCATGATGGTTTATCTTCAATTGACTGATGATCTTAACTATATAAAATTACTAAAAATCTCCACAAAAACCCCGTTCTGTTAAAAATGAAAGTTGTTTCACTGTAGTTCCATTCGATTCATAAAGTTTGTTCTACTAGGCACAAAATGCAAGTATCCAATGGAATTAACTCACATAATCATGGTCAGTCAATCAGAGAAGGGTTCTAGTAATTAACAAATCAAAGTTCAATTCAGTAAAAATCCTCATTGATTTTATGAACGATGTAAATATGTGGATTTTTGGTTTCTCAAAAACACTGAAGATGAATTAAAACAATGCTAAGCCTGCAAAATATTCCCCTAAGATGAGATCTCTAAGTTAAATCACTGGCTTGATAACATATCTCAAACAACCATGTTCTCAGCTATAAATATTCCCCATCATCTGATTACATAGATTAGTGAAACCTCTGTGTGAAATACATGAATCAGGTAGCTAAATGATTGCTGTCATTTATGGGGATGAGAAGAGTAATGTTTGAATCAACTAACTAACAGTTATAAATATTATACTAGAGTTATCAATGATCCTGGAAGGTTAACAAATAATAGATATTATATGTAAACCAAGTTTGACGAAATCATGTTAAGGCAACATCCAAAATTTGTATTTTAATAATGAAACATATATCACGGAATAACTCAGCGATCTGAATGTCATGTTTGATTGAGAAGAAAGAAAGTCATATCTGTGTGTCGAGCCGCCTAGACTAATGGCCACATTGCAACTTGATCGATAGCATTCGATCAGCACTAAGACGGACTTGACACGCATGACATTGATCACCACCCAGCGATGAATCAATTGGGAAAGTCATATCTTATTTACAATTCGAGTAAAAATAGTAAGGACTGTATAACGGTCAAGGATATTCAAGTGTTTCTTCACCAATATATCATACTTACAAGCTCTTTACAGATTCATGAGGGTAAAAAGCATGTATTGATGTTTTTCATAAATCTCTCTTTCATGTATTTATCAGAATAATGTCAGGGAGGTATGGATGGATGTTTTGTTCTAATGTGGAACTTCTCAACTAAATCAGGACCTCCAATCTTTGTGCAGAAATAGCTTTCTCCACGGATCATTGAGTTGGAATTCAATCATTCACTTTTTTAAATTTCAGTCACTTATAGGATGGTCACTACCTTTAAGAAGTTTCATACAAAAATAAAACTAGATTGCTTAGCTAAAATTAGTCCATAATATAAACGAAAAATTGAACAATGAACACAAAATCTTCATCTTAATTAATAAATAATGCAAACTCAACAAACTCTACAATCCTATATGGATACAAAACAAAAGACAGTCAAATTGATGATTTCAGGTATAACTTTAAATTATAATACATTACTTACATTGATTATAATCCATCAATTGATTCTGATGAAAATGATCCATTTGTCGACAATGATTCTGACGTTGATTTTGTTGAAGTTGTCGGGTATTACATTTTGAAATAGTAGATGGTGATAAGTCATCCTATAAAAAAGATAATTAGAAATAATGAAATCTCAAAATTTTATTAGTTGAAATCATGAGTCGACTGAAGCTAGACCATCATGGAAAACCTGATAGCACTGGACGATCGTTTCGTCCTATTATGGGACTCCACAATACCGCTTTTGCGAGCTTCCAATCCAGGACTTAACAGTCTCGCATCAGAGCATTTAACTGATAGACCACTGAGTTAGCCAGCATCCAACAGTGTTAATGTCTAACTTCAACTGATCCACGATGTTTGAGCAATCGTTTACCAATTGTCTTCAGTGAGTTTCTATCTCACAACAGACGTGGTTTGAACTCCACTGGTCACTGCTTCCCACTATCGTGGATGCGCACTGCTGAGGAGTCCCATAATAGGACGAAACGGTCGTCCAGTGCATCCAGGTTTCCCGTGGTAGTCTAGCTTCAATTGGTTCATGATTTCGACTATGAAAATACTGAAATATCTACAAAACCCCTTCTGAAATATCAAAATGTTTTTTTTTGCAAGTCACTCTGTATGTTTGTATGGTAATAAATCTAAATAGATCAATAAATCTTAAATCATGATGAACACAATTAATTGTTAACTCAAATAGTTTTATTGCTAAGTGTCTGGTTAGAAAGGTTTAAGAATTACCGGTCAAATCTATGATAAAGTGGTAAGTGAATGAAGATACCCTAAATAAATGGAATAAACTAACACAGATGTTAAAAATCAAATGAAACGATTCAATAAAGAATTATCTTTTTCAGTGAAGTAATTCTCAATGTTGTACAATCGTGAAACCTGTACTGTTTTCTTTTCCAAAATGACAATCAATAATACATATATGTTAATCAATAATTATTGATTGAGCATAGTAACACAATCACTGAAAAAAATATTGTTTTTTTGATAAGCAGAGATGGTTAGTGGCTAGCAGAGGAATTCAGTTTGACGCGCGTTTCCGTCCTATTTGGGACTCGTCAACTGGATGTACTTGCATCTCAGAGTTGATGTTCACTCTGAGACTCGAACCCAGTGCCCTCGCTTCAAACACTATCGCGTTATCCACTCAGCCACTGACTCCTGATAGCCACTTGGTGACGAGTCCCAAATAGGACGAAACGCGCATCCACTTCTAGCCAGTATCCATCTCTGCTTACGATGCTTGTGAATTAAAACTATATCGAGACAATACGCACAGTATACACATATGCCAATTAGAGACTGACCAGTTGCAGTCCTAACACATCGATGGGAAGATTCAAATAAATAATACTAAATGAATTGCTTTTTGAATTAGAAAAAACTGACTGTTTAGAGCTTGAATATTTATCAAGACTGTCACTGAAGTTTGACAAAGGTTAATAATTGGGCATAATCTCATTAGATAACATGTACTAATGCACATGAAATGTAATCAAAGAGGAACCGGATGCAAAAATATCGGTTATGAGTAGAATATCAATGGAATACAAGGTGGGGTTGAAGGATAATGCCTAACAACTCCACCAACTAACTACTATTAGATTTATCCACATTACTCAAGTCATTCTCAGAGACCATAAAACGAATGAAAAAATATTTCATTCCAAATTATACTGATAAAAACTGATTAGAAATCTAGGTCAGGAGTCCCATACACTACTCTAAGCAGAATTATCTTATACGATTTCATTGTGAATTTGAGCAGTGGCATTTTTATACTGACCCTATTTCATTCAGTAACTGTTATTACATGTTCTACCATTCCTAGCTTATCATCAATTGGTAATATAAGAAAGTTTACATTTCTAACAGTTTTTTTATATGGCAGCCAGGGATATATAGGATCTTCAAGAATTGATTTCCCCTGTAAGATTAGAATACGAGTCACTGAGAGTCATAGTTAGAAATGTTGTCGTTTAGCAATTCAGACGGGGAAAGAGGTTTTAACAGGAATTTATTACTGAACAGTAATTACGGGTTTTCTCTAACGAAAAATTATTTTGAAACATTACCTGGAATGAATTTTAAGACACTAGCTATATAGATCGCTAAACAATAGTATGGCGGCCTGCTTGAACATCTGGGCTACCTGTTACTGCTATCTAGATATTTCAACAACTTATCTAATTTTGTTTTAATACATTATTATGGAAATTAATCGCATAACGCATTCATGTGCGTTTCTGAAAAGTATACAACCTTTCTGTTGTATCCCGAAGAGAATTGTGAATAGTAACTTTTGAGGACTATTTATGGATCAATGTAATGTGCATATTTCCTATTGTATAATTGTTAAGTAATTAACCTAATCCTATTCATGTTCCTCTTATCATTAGCTTTATTTTGACCTTTGAACTATTATTATACGAATTACCATTCTTGAGTTATCCCCAGTCTATTGATTACTGTTCCCCCTATTCACAGCCACATTTGGCTAGATCTTGTACAAATGTTATTTTCTATTTTATGGTACGATGTGGTCTGTTTGATTTGTATATAAATCCAGTATGTTTGAGAATAATGATTCATATATGCAGAGGTTGTTATTGGTGTTCTGGACTTAACTGGTTGGGCTAGGCAGAAAGTAGGACTGATAAATACTCAAGACTGCTCATACGGCTTTTGTGTACCATAGCTCTGATCGATAATTCACAGTTCTCTGATGGAGGGGGATCAGCACGTTCATATATCAATCAGGGCAGGCACGCAAGCGATCGATATAACACTTTCGTTGTACAAGTTACAGAAGGCTCAATCAGAGATATCGTGGTTGCTAACAATATAAAGTGAAAAGAATGTACATTATTTGAATGTCAATTGACTGAACTGCTAATTTCTAACTGGCAATCACTCAATATTTATCGTCAGGATCGATCAAGAAGTAAGGAACGGAAACTTGTTGAAATACTTTGTTCTAAGAATTCTATATTGTACTCAAAATATAATATTGAATAAAGTTAATAATAATAATAATGCTTATTGATTTATTGCTTATCTAAATTCAACTAAATTGATAAAATGTACAATATACTACTTAAAACATTGTTAGTAGTAAAAATTAGTAAACCTTTCAAATCTAGTTCTTTTCTATCACTTTCTAAGCTAAATGATTAGTGACAATCGGGAAGACACTATATTTGATTTGCATTTCGTACTAGTTCACAAATATGTAACCTTAAATGTAATTAATGTTTCCTGTAGGTGCAGAACTTGCATCATCCTTAAAGAATACACAGTTTCAATCTAATTAGAAGACATAGTAATTCTGGTACCATCATTTTATGCTTAAAGTTTAATAGAAAAAGAAACCGTGTTAATTATTTTTTAAATTAGGTTAATGATACTACAATTTACAAAAATAAACTCTAGTCAATAATTCTTTTTTGATAATCTGCTCAACATTGTTTTTCTACATAAGCAAATGTAGATAATGTAACTACTGGAAATCTGAGAAACCTGTGTATCTGTAAATAATTCCCCAAAATCATTAGCTTTTTAAGTGTTCAATATTGGATGCTGACCAAATTGTTTTAAGTGGACTTGTTTAGCTGAAGTCGTTCAGTCATGCATCCGTACCAGATTACGTTACAACTCAGCGTGGGAAACACTTCCTACGTTCACTAGCCAGATTAGAGTAACCGCTTTTCCATATAATGATAACGTATCAAATATATCTTTCCTACCTCTCTGCATCTGATTTCTGATTTTAATCAAGTGGAGGACGATTCAAATATAGAAGGTGTTACTGGTTAATAATTGTCAAACTAGAATACTGGTCGTATCTTCACCTGGATTATTTATTTATTTATTTAATCACATATATATTGGTACAAATGGCACCGGATACATATGCGCCACACAAAATAATGAGAATAGGAGGAGAAGGAAGAAGATGCGTATATATAAAATAAGGAAAAAAGAAAAGGAGAAGAGTAATGATGGGGGGAACTGAAATGTACAACCAGAAGAGCACTCTCAGTTACGAAAGGTATATCCACTCTTTATGAAGAAAGTAGAAGAAGGTTACGGCAGGATCACCACTGGCTTCTATTCTGAGCCATACCTGATAACGTCTCTAGCCACTGTGTTGCACCATCTCTTGGACCCCAGCCAGGGAGTCGTGGAGGACCAACAGAAGCCAGCCCTCTGAAGCTTTCTTTCATACCATGACACTATGTCATACACTGACCTCCTCTCCGCTTTTTCAAACCAGTCCCAGAGTCAGCAAATGCACGACGTGGAAGTCTCTGGGACGACATTCGTAAAACATGTCCAAGCCACCGAAGTCGGTGATTCAAGATGGTGACACCAATTGAATTATCGTCTCTGCTCCCGAACACACGATACCGAACCTCTGCATTACTAACATGGTGTTGCCACTGGATGTCAGCAATCCTTCGGAGACAACGATGATGGAACACAGAGAGACGTCTAACATCCTCAACTCGGAGAGGCCAGGTTTCACAAGCATAGAGCAAAACTGCTCTCACTGACGTGTTGTAGATCCGACATTTTACAGCCAGACTAACATCACGAAGGCGCCATAGATGACCCAGATTGGCATAAGCCGCTCTGGCTTTCATCATACGTGCATCAATCTCATCAGTCACGCCACCACCAGCACTTATGTAGCTACCTAGATACACGAACTTCTCAACTACTTCAATCTGCTCACCATCCAGGGTGAGTACAGGATGAGAATCCTGCCAGTCTTGTGGGAGTACCTTGCACATGGAGGGTGCAAAGCACATGCCGTACCTACGGACACTGATTGCCAACTGATTAAGTTCGGATTGCATGGCTTGGGCATCATCGCACAGTAAGAAAGTATCATCCACATACTCAAGGTCCAGAAGTTGTTCTCCAGGCAACATATCCACACCGCCATTACTTACATCCATCAGAGCTGTTTCCAGAGTGTCACCGATGGCAAAGTTGAAGAGGAATGGTGAGATTGGGCAACCCTGCCTAACCCCACTGCTCGAATGAAACAAGGGAGAAAGGTGGTTGTATGCCCTCACCC